ATAAAGGTCTGTAGTTGTGGAATCTCTCGAAAGACTGTTGGCCGGGACTTTGCTGGAGAGGAATTCCCTTTAAACTAAATAAAAGAGGTTTTATCGGGATGAGAAGTCGGCTTCATGATCTTGGGAAGCCTCGGTCAGAAATGTCTGGATACATTTCCAACATTGAGCAGACATGCTTTTAAACGCCTTTGCTAGTGCCACCTATAAAACACTTTTTATACCTTCCAGGTATTTCTTATGGCGGTTTGTGATGCTCTCTTATCGCCTGGACCTTTGGGCCGACACCTACAGCTGGCCATTCCTGGCTTACATGTCTCTGGTCTGCCTCTATCCCTTCACGTCCAGCTGTGCTCACACCTTCAGCACCATGTCCACCCATGCGCGACACATCTGCTATTTCTTGGACTACAATGCCCTCAGCCTCTATAGTTTGGGTAAGGGAGCTTGTGGTTTGAAGGTTGACCTTCGTCCTGTCTCCTTTCCGAGGGTTGGGTTGCTACCGGTTCGCTGTGGGAATTGGGATGCCGAACCGGTACGGACAGCAGGCTGGCCATGCCCCCAAACCGGTTCCTCGGTCGCCCATGCTGTTGCCGGCATGTTTTTTCTTTACTCATTTTATAATGTTCTGCGCATGCACAGAACAAATTACAGGCAACCACGCATGCGCAAGCAATGTGGGGCGAGCATGTGTGTGAATTGAATCGACAGTAATGCCGGCAGCAACCCACCCCTGGGTTGGGACTACAATTCTCCAAATCCTCAGCTGACCAAATGCCAAATTTGCTGGGGCATTCTGGAAGCTGCAGCCGAGTGGTGCGGCGGGCTAGAGGTGGAGCTCTCATCTCACAATCAGGAGTCTGTGAGTTCGATCCTAGGTAGAGGCAGATATTTCTCTCTCTGGGCACAATGAGAATATATCTACTGAACAGAACTCCGTATTGGTGACAGGGAAGGGCATCTGGCCAGTAAACACTCAGCTCCATTCAGACTCCACTCTGTCAGGGATTATGGGGTCATTAGAAGAAGATGATGATGATTCTGGAAGTTGCAACCTCAAAGTTTCCTGGAAGGTGACAGGTTGGGGAAGAGAATGAACCAGAGTTTCTAAATCTTACATAGACTTCAACTCCCAGAATTCTCCAGCCGGCATGGTTTAAGAGGGGTGGATTTCAGCTCCCAGAATTCCCAAGACAGCTATGTTGGCTGGGGAATTCTGGGAGTTGAAGTCCACCCACCTTTAAGGGGCCAAGACTGGGAAACAGAGCGGTGAATGAAATGTGCATTTATATACTCCCTCACTCCATCCTTAACTGCTCTGTTTTTGCACGGCAACCACGAAATGCAGTCCAGTCAGAAGATGGGCTTGAGAACTCTTCCCCACCCCCCATCCCCATGGGATAGGGAGTCAAATGCAAAGTGTTGCGCAATTCTGAGCCTTGCAAAGAGGCTGGATTAGAAGCTCCACCCCTCTAACCATGTCCTTTTGCGTGTTTCAGGGTGTGCATTCACATATGGCGCCTACGCGATGCCGGATCGTTGGGTCAACAGCCTTGGGCACCACTACTTTGTCCCCATGGCTGCCATAAACTCTTTGATCTGCACCAGCCTTTCTTGCTATTCTCGGTAGGTATTGCAGAAGAACGGAGTTGGAAGGGACCTTGGAGGTCTTCTAGTCCAGCCCCCTTTGCTCAAGCAGGAGACCCTACACCATTTCTGACAGGTGGCAGTCCTGTCTCTTCTTAAAAACCTCCAGTGATGGAGCACCCACTACTTCTGGTGGCAAGCAGTTCCACTGGTGAATCGTTCTCACTGTCAGGCCATTTCTTCTTCCTCCTTCTCCCCCTCCCCTCTTCTCCTCCTCCTTCTCCCCTTCCTCCTGTTCTTCCTGCTTCTCCTTCTCCTTCTAATCTTTTCTCCTCCCATTCACTCCTTCTGCTCTTCCTGATCCTCCTGTTACTTCTCCCCCTCTCCTCCTCCTCCTCCCCCTCTTCCTGTTCTTCCTGCTCCTCCTGTTACTTTTCCTCCTCCTCATTGTCTTCCTCTTCTCCTCCTCCTTCTGCTCCTCATGCTCCTCCTGTTACTTCTCCTCTTCTTCCTTCTTCTCCTCCCCACTCCTCCTCTTTCTGCTCCTCCTGCTACTTCTACTTCTCCTCCTCTTCTTCCTCTTCTTCTCCTCTTCCATCCCCTCCTCCTCCTCTTCCTCCTTCTCCCTCTCCCCTCTTCTTCTTGTCCTCCTCCCCTCCCTTCTGTTCTTCCTGCTCCTCCTGCTCCTTCTCTTTTCTTCTCCTCCTCCTTCCCCTCCTCTTCCTGCTCCTCCTCTTCTTCTCCTCCTTCCCCTCCTCCTGCTCTTCCTCCTCCCTCTCCCCTCTTCTTCTTGTCCTCCTCCTCCCCTCCCTTCTGTTCTTCCTGCTCCTCTTGCTCCTTCTCTTTTCTTCTCCTCCTCCTTCCCCTCCTCTCCCTGCTCCTCCTGTTACTTCTCTTTTCTTCTCCTCTTCCTTCCCCTCCTCTTCCTGTTCCTCCTGCTACTTTTCCTCCTCCTCTACTTCTCCTCCTCCTCTTCCTCTTCTTCTCCTCCATCCCCTCCTCCTGCTCTTCCTCCTTCTCCCTCTCCCCTCTTCTCCTTCTCCTCCTCCTTCCCCTCCTCCTATTCTTCCTGCTCCTCTTGCTCCTTCTACTCTTTTCTTCTCCTCCTTCCCCTCCTCCTGCTACTTCTTCTTCCTCCTCTCTTCCTCCTCCTGCTCTTCTCCCCCCTCCTCTTCCTCCTCCTCCTCCTCCCACTCTAGGTTCCTGGAGCTGGAGTGGCCCCGCTGGAGCAAGGCTGCACGGATGGCCGCTTTCGTCTACCCGTTCTTCTTCGACAACATCCCGCTCTTCTTCAGGGTAAGGGCCAGAGGGAGGGAGGGACTGTGCCCCCCCCTCCACACCCACATAAGGAGAGGAGCTTTTCCGCAGGAAGGCAGCCTGCAAGGGGAGCAGACCTTGGCAAAGGGGGAGAGATGCTTCCTTGGGAAGGGCTAGATAAGAGGACACCCAGCCCTCAGCTGCACGATGGGTGGAGAAAAGGGGTACTCCTGTCATTATAAGGCAGTGGTTCCCAAACTTGGCAACTTTAAGACTTGTGGACTTCAACTCCTAGAATTCTCCAGCCAGCTCTGCTGGCTGGAGAATTCTGGGAGTTGAAGTCCACAAGTCTTAAAGTTGCCAAGTTTGGGAACCACTGTTATAAGGCTATCGCGGAGATTTCCACAGGCAGTCCTCGACTTACAACCACATCCGAGCCCCCAAATTCTGTGGTTAAGCAAGACCTTTGTTAAATGACTTTTGCCCGCGTTACGACCTGTCTTGCATTTGTTAAGCGAATCATTGCAGGTGTTTAAGTGAGCAGCGTCGTTTTTAAGTGAATCGGCTTCCCCGTTGACTCTCCTTGTGAGAAGGTCGCAAAAGGGGGAATCACATGATTTTGGGAGACTGCAACCGTCATAAACATGAACCAATGTCCAAATTTTATTATAGTATTGTAGAATTCTTTATTGACTGAGTGTGATTGGACACACAAGGAATTTGTCTTTGGTGCATATAGAGTAGAGTAGAGTAGAATTCAGAATAGAATAGAATAGAATAAAGAATAGAATAGAATAGAATTCAGAATAGAATAGAATTCAGAATAGAATTCAGAATAGAATAGAATTCAGAATAGAATTCAGAATAGAATAGAATTCAGAATAGAATT